GCATGAGGCCGGGGGCTGGTGTCAGGGTGTTTGGCTGAGGGGGGGGTCTTGCTTGGGAACAAGTGAGAAGCTCAGTTTATGGAGGCAGCCAGATGTGGAATAGCAAAACGTGAAGGGATATCAAGTTACAGACCTGGGCTCAGACGGAACTGGCCATGGGACCTTGGGCAAGACAGTTTATCTCTCTGAGCCTCAGTTTCCTAGGCTATAAAATAAACCTAGTCATCCCTCAGTTGTAGGGATGATGAATGGGGATGTTGTGTGGCAAGGCTGGGCCCAGGGCCAGGCCTGGAGTGGGTGATGAGAGAATGTTCTTTCCTTCCCTTTCCCTTTGGTCATCCTTCTGGGGCGGCAGAAACCAGGGAAGTGGTGTGCCATGCACGTGCGCGTGGCTTACATGATCCTGAGACACCAGGAAAAGATGAAGGTACTGGGGCTGGAGGGCTGGGGAGAGTGGGTCTGAGAGTCAGGGGTGGCCTGAGCTCCGGGCATCTATCTTCAACAGAGCTCAGTGGAAGCTTGGCCAGAAACATTCTCTCCTGTCCCCTGTCACTGCTGGGCACTTAGTTCTCTGGCTATTAGGGGGATAGTCAGAGAAGGCTCTGAGAGAGGCAGAGGATAGACATCCAAGCCCCACCTTGGTGCCAGCCAGCCCTTGGAGGGGAACTAAGGGTGGGAGAGCAGGAGCTAGACCAGACCTGGCTCTTCACTCACTGCCCCTCTCCCTGTGTCCCACGCAGGGTGACTCCCACAAGCTTGACTTTCGGAACGACCTCCTGCCCTGCCTTCCGGGGCCCTATGGGGCCCTGCCCCCTGGGCAGGAGCTCTCCCACCCGGCCTCCCTCTTCACTGCGACTGGTGAGTCTGGCCAGCCCTCTCGTGGCCTGAGGTTCCCCATCTATAGCCCAAGGCCCCTGTTGCGCCCACTCAGCCTCATCAGAATCTCCCACCTCTCTGCCCCAGGTGCCGTCCATGCTGCAGCCAATCCTTTCACGGCAGCTCCCGGGGCCCACGGACCCTTTCTGAGCCCCAGCACCCACATTGGTAAGAGCCAAGGGCATGTTGGGCAACCCAGGCCTTGTCCCTGACTTCCAGGGATTCTCAAGCTGGATGGAAATCAAACCTGACAGGCAGCTAGAATGGGGGTAGACCTGGTTCCACTTGCTTTGTGACCTTGGGCAAGTTACTGTACCCCCTCTGAGCCTTGATTTCCTCATCTGTAAAATGAGTAGGGAAAGACAGGGTAATTTCCAGTCTCTGCCAGCTCAGACCCTGTCTCTGAAGAGGGGGGCGGGTAATGTGCCATCTGGGAGAGGAGGGTGGGGGAGGCAGTGCAGGACAAGGGGAGGGCATGGGCACTGACTCTTAGGAATCTCAGCGGGCCTCTTGGGGAGATTTAACCTGGGTGTGGGTGGACAAGGAGGAGTTGAGCCTGATGACATAGAGAAAGGTGTTCCTAGCTGGGGAAATTGTGAGGCTCCCTGGGAGGATAGGTAGTTGTTCTGACTGGCTTTGTGACACATGCATGAAGTTAGTGTCAGGTTGGGAAGGGCTCTGCATGTCAGATGGGGGGAAGCCAGCAGAGGTCTTGAGGTGAGTGGCTTGCTGCAGAGCTGAGATCTGCTAAGATGGGTCCAGGTGGCTGTGTTGGTGAGTGGGGGGGTAAGAGCTTGACCTCTGGTGTCAGAGAGGCCCTGGGTTGATGGTACCACTCACTGGCTAGATGATCGTTGGCAAGTCATTTTACCTCTCTGAGCCTGTTTCATCATCTTTAAGCAGGAATGATCCTATCTGCCTCATGGAGCTTGTTGTGAGGTTAAACTACACGGTGCATGTCAAAGCCCAGTGACTTGCCTGGCCCAAGGAAATGCTCAGCACGTGGTTGTTGAGACCATGCAGCCAGGGGTTCCTGGCCTGCTTGTGGCTCTGCCTCTTCCCTGCTGGGTCCTCATGCCTGCTGGAGCTAGCTGTCCAGTCTCTGACCATCCCCTTTTTCTCCCACAGATCCCTTTGGGCGTCCCACAAGCTTCGCCTCCTTGGCTGCCCTCTCCAACGGGGCCTTTGGAGGCCTGGGCAGCCCCACATTCAGTGAGTGCAGGGTGGGGTGGGGTGGGGGATGCAGCAGTGGGGTAATGTGCTGAGGCAGGGGCCTGGGAGGATGCCTGAACGGGGCCCCTCTTCTGGCCCCTGTCACTTTCTACTTTACCCTCTGCCCAGACTCCGGCGCCGTCTTTGCCCAGAAAGAAAGTCCAGGGGCTCCACCAGCCTTCGCCTCCCCCCCAGACCCATGGGGCCGCCTGCACCGCAGTCCTCTGGCCTTTCCTGCCTGGGTCCGGCCCCCTGAGGCCGCCCGGACACCAGGCTCAGACAAGGAGCGGCCTGTGGAGCGGAGGGAGCCCTCTATCACCAAGGAGGAGAAAGACAGGTATGCCTGCCTCTCCCACCTGTGCCCTGCCTGCCCGTCAGCCTCCGCTTGCCACTGGACTTCTTCACTCTCTCTCCCACCTGCCCCCAGGGACCTCCCTTTCTCCCGGCCCCAGCTTCGAGTTTCTCCTGCTACTCCCAAGGCCAGGGCTGGTGAGGAGGGGGCCCGGCCAGCCAAGGAATCCGTGCGGGTGAAGGAAGAGCGAAAGGAGGAGGCTGCTGCCGCCGCCGCTGCCGCCGCCGCCGCCGCTGCCGCTGCCGCCGCCGCTGCAGCAGCCACTGGCCCTCAGGGCCTTCACCTGCTGTTTGAGAGGCCCCGGCCGCCCCCCTTTCTGGGCCCTAGTCCACCAGAGCGCTGTGCTGGCTTCCTGGAGCCAACCTGGTTGGCAGGGCCCCCACGCCTCGCTAGGCCACCTCGCTTCTATGAGGCGGGTGAGGAGCTTACTGGACCAGGTGCCGTGGCTGCTGCCCGCCTCTATGGTCTAGAGCCTGCTCATCCCCTGCTGTACAGCCGCTTGGCTCCTCCGCCGCCACCTGCTGCGGCCCCAGGAACCCCTCACCTTCTCAGCAAGACCCCACCAGGAGCCCTTTTGGGGGCACCACCTCCGCTTGTGCCCGCCCCCCGGCCCAGTTCCCCACCTAGGGCCCCTGGCCCAGCTCGGGCTGATAGGTGAGGGAAGGGGAGGGGCAGGGGCAAAGCTCCATCTCCCCTTTCCTTTTGACAAGGTCCTAGGGCTGAGGTTTTAAGCCAGGGCTGGAGGGCAGAGGTCATAACCTCACCAGCCACCTCTGAGGTCATGGAACCTGGGAGCAGAAGCCCCAACCCCCGCAAGATAAGCATCACATGGACCCTGGGGTCACTGGTAGAGCAGAGGTCTCAAACCTCCAGAGAATGAGAGGGGTGTGTGTGTGTGTGTGTGTGTGTGTGTATGTGTGTTTACACGAGTGTGGGGGTCATTTCAGAGGTCACAGCTCATGATCTCCTGAGGTGCACCATCACGCCCTCTGAGGGCCTCGAGGCCCTTGGCCTACTTCCCCAAGGGCTCACTAAGCCAGAGGCCAAAGTGCCCCCTCCTCTTCACTGACCACCCAAGTCCTCATGCCCTCCTAGGGCTGAGGGAGGAGGGGCTAAAGGAAGGGGGGTTCCATGTACATATTTATCACCCCTTCCATATAGCCCCCAAGACCTTTTGTACATTTTTACAGGGGTGCCCCTCCCAACAGTCCCCTTCCTGGTTAATTAAATCCTCAGACTGGTGCTGTGTTCCTAGCCTCTGGCCTCTCTGTGGGGGAAGGCGGGGATTGCAGGGGACGAGCTGGGAGGGGTCAGGCAGGAACCCAGGGTTTCTCCCTGGAAATGTGGGGTCCAGTAGGAGGTGGACCAACAGGGGAAGGGACCTAGGCTGAAGGGAAAGGCAAATACTTCCTGCTTGGCTGACAGCCCAGGTTTCCCCCATTTGTTCCTGTTAACTCTGTGTGCTCCCACCCCCAAAAGGCTCAACCTCTAAGCCTCAGGCTCCACCACCTCTTAATGGCTCAATCCCCCTCACCCCATTTCCAAGTGCCCCCAGGACTCCTGGGCCCTGCTCCCCTGAACCCTGTTCTCCAAAACCCTACCCTGGGCTAAGGGGGGCCGGAGAAGGTCACCATGTACCACACACCAAAGAAGGGGGTCGGCCCAGGGGTGGGCGACACAGGCAGCTTCTTCAGCAGCCTCAAGGCAGCAGCCCCAGCCTTCCCAAAGCAACAGGCGCCTCTAGGCTGGGGCCCGACCTAGAAGGCAGGGGTCAGTTTAACAAAACCATACGTTGACTTTTTTCCCCGGTGGGGCTTATTCTGTAACATGACTTGCGGATATTTATATAAAAATGAGTGTTACAATGAAGCCCCTGGCTCCTCTTTCGGTGTGTGTGGGCTGGGGTGGGCTGGGGTAGGGGTGGGGTGAGGGCAACACTATCCTTGTCCTGATTAAAGTTTTTCCCTCCTTCCCTTTTGGGAGAGTTGTTCTGCTACTTCTGGATGGATAGGTTAGAATGTTGGGCACTGAAGTTTTTCACGTTATTTTTCTACAAACCAGGAATACATATTCTATAAGATTCAAATAATACAGAAAGACACTGAGCAAAACATTACATATCCCCTTCACCTGCCTTCCCAAACCTCATACCCTTTCCCGGAAGTAACCACTCTCGATCATTTGACATATGTTCTTCAGATTCCTTTCTATGTGTTTATCTACACATGTATGTCCATTCATAGTTATGTTAGAAAGTATAAGTTTTAAAATGTATTGGTTTTTGTCAAGTAATACATGGTCACTATAAATCAATCCAAACACACAGAAATACATGGTACAATGGGACCCATAATCTGACCTCTCCAGAGATAACCGCTGTTAAATGTTGGGGTAAATTCCTCCAGTTATTTTTCTAACTACTACAAACTACCACAATAAAGTAAATATCAAAGCAAGTCACACGAATTTTTTGGTTTCCAAGTGCATATAAAAGTTATGTTTACAGTATACTGTAGTCTATTAAGTGTGCAATAGCATTGTCAAAAAAAAACAATGTACGTACCTTAATTAAAAAATACTTTATTGCTAAAAATTGCTACCGGTCATCTGAACGTTCAGCGAGTCGTGATCTTTTTGCTGGTGGAGGGTCTTGCCTTGATGTTGGTGGCTGCTGACTCATCAGGGTGGTGGTTGCTGAAAGTTGGGGTGGCTATGGCAGTTTCTTCCAATAAGACAGCTGAAATTTGCCTCATTGATGGACGCTTCCTTTCACTTGAACTCTTAAGTTCAGCCGTTGTAGGGTTAGTAATTGGCCTAGTTTCAATACTGTATCTCAGGGAAGAGGGAGGCCTGAGGAGAGAGAGATGGGATAACAGCCAGTCAGTGGAGCGGACAGAACACACATTTATTGACTGAGTTTGCCATATCTTATATGGGCATGGCTTGTAGTGCCCCAAAACAATTTAAAAATAGTAAATCAAAGATCACAGATCACAGGCCGGGCGCAGTGGCTTACGCCTGTAATCCTAGCTCTCTGGGAGGCGGGCGGATTGCTCAAGGTCAGAAGTTCGAAACCAGCCTGAGCAAGAGTGAGACCCCGTCTCTACTATAAATAGAAAGAAATTAATTGGCCAACTAATATATATATAGAAAAAAATTAGCCAATGTGCACATGCCTGTAGTCCCAGCTACTCGGGAGGCTGAGGCAGAAGGATTGCTTGAGCCCAGGAGTTTGAGGTTACTGTGAGCTAGGCAGATGCCACAGCACTCACTCTAGCCTGGGCAACAAAGCGAGAAAAAAAAAAAAATAGAAATTAATTGGCCAACTAAAAACATATAGAAATAATTAGCCGGGCGTCGTGGCATGTGCCTGTAGTCCCAGCTTCTTGGGAGGCTGAGGCAGGAGGATTGCCTGAGCCCAGGAGTTTGAGGTTGCTGTGAGCTAGGCTGATGCCATGGTACTCTAGCCTGGGCAATAGAATGAAACTCTGTCTCAAAAAAATTTAAAAAGCACTATCCGTGAAGCACAATATAGCAAAGAGCAATAAAAAGAGGTATATACCTGTATGTGCATAAAATATTTTGAAAAAATGGAATTTTGTGAAATGTACTGTTTTACGATTTCCTTTTTACACTTTCTTTACACTTAAAATTATTCTTTGATGTAACCATTAAAAAAAACAAGTGATGGCCTGGCACAGCGGCTCACGCTTGTAATCCTACTACTCTGGGAGGCTGAGGCGGGTGGATCACTCAAGGTAAGGAGTTTGAAACCAGCCTGAGCAAGAGTGAGACCCCGTCTCTACTAAAAATAGAAAATTAATTGGCCAACTAAAATATATAGAAAAAAAATTAGCCGGGCATGGTGGCGCATGCCTGTAGTCCCAGCTATTCGGGAGGCTGAGGCAGAAGGATCACTTGAGCCCAGGAATTTGAAATTGCTGTGAGCTAGGCTGATGCCGCAGCACTCTAGCCCCAGCAACAGAGAGAGACTCTGTCTCAAGAAAAGACAACAAGTGACTACTAAACTGGGTTACCAGGGCTGGCCTCTACCTGAGTCCCCTACAGTTAACTGGGTGACCTTGTTCCTAGTATACCTGTTTCCTTATGAAAGACTCAAGTAACATTCTTGGCCACCACCACACATACCCAAGACTTCTCGGGAAGCCTCAAGCCTGGATTGCTCCAACAGAAGTCAAAAACAGGTGACCAAAAGACAATGTGACTTGCAGACAAGATTTCACATGGATGTTCTTGTTTTTTCAACGTCTCTCAAAAAATCTGAAAGTCTACTGTCACTAACCTGCTTTCCACCATAGCTGTCCCTAGCAATGGGGCATGATCTCACCAAGTTGCCATTGTTCCCTCCACTCTGTTGTCTTGGAATAGACCATCTTCACTAGTCGGGCCACCTCCCTGACCATTTGAGAGTGGAACTTTTAGTGAAATATTTCCTAGACATGCACATCCAGCCTCTCCTAGATCTTTCCTGCAAGCACCTGAGATATCCCAAACTGGGTCATCTCCTCAGTCTGATGCTCCACTCCCCCCACCATTCCCATCTCTGTGTCAGAAACCTCCCACCTCCCTCCTGAGCTGCCTTTCATTCTTCCAACCACCGTTGACTTCATCCACCATGCCAGGCTCTGCACTAGTAAATAGAACAAATCCTAGCCTTCCTGGAGCTTGTATTCTGTGAGAAAGGAGGAGCTTGTATTCTGTGAGAAAGGAGCAACAAACACATACTGCGTGAAGAAAATGTAACAAGCTGATGGGAAAGAATTTCGTTAGCCTGTCCTCTTAACCATCATACCCCACTGATTCATCTCTGTATGCTCTGATTCTACCTCAGGGCGACACCTCGAACAGAGATAAAATGGGAGTTCATAAACCATTGTTGACATTTGGGCAAAGACAAAGCAAGGCAAAACTCATTCACCATAGTGAGGCTGCAATTAGGAAAAGCATTTCTTTGCTTTGAACAAGCTCAGTGTAGTAGCTATGTCATCTTAAGCAATGTACTTACCATTTCTGTACATTGAATTTTTATTTGTAAAATCAAGGATTAAAAAAAAACTTTATTGAGATATAATTCACATACCTTATCATATTATTCAACCACCCAGTCTTTTGTACTGGCTGCTTTTATTAATTTATTTATTTTTCTGAGACTGAGTCTCACTCTCTTCCCTGGGCTAAAGTGCCGTGGTGTCAGCCTAGCTCATAGCAGCCTCAAACTCCTGAGCTCAAGTGATCCTTCTTTTTTTTATTTATTATTTTTTTTATTTTAGTGTATTATGGGGGTACAAGTGTTAAGGTTATATATATTGCCCTCAAGCAATCCTTCTGCCTCAGCCTTCCGAGTAGCTGGGACTACGGGCACACGCCACCATGCCCAGCTAATTTTTTTCTATTTTTAGTTGTTTGACTAATTTCTTTCTATTTATAATAGAGACGGGGTCTCACTCTTGCTCAGGCTGGTCTCGAACTCCTGAGCTCAAGCAATCCTCCCGCCTCGGCCTTCCTAAGTGCCAGGATTACAGGCGTGAGCCACCGCGCCCGGCTTACTGGCTTCTTTTTACTTAGCATTGTGGGGTCAGGCGCGCTGGCTCACACCTGCTGTCATAGCACTCTGGGAGGCCAAGGTGGAAGGATAGCTTGAGCTCAGAAGTTCGAGACCAATCTGAGCAAGAGTGAGACCCCGTCTCTACTAAAAATAGTAAAAATTAGCTGGGTGTGGTGGCACACACCTGTAGTAGTCCCAGCTACCTGAGAGGCTAAGGCAGGAGGATCGCTTGAGCCCAGGAGGGGTTGCTGTGAGCTAGGCTCACACCATGGCACTCTAACCTGGGCAACAGAAGGAGACTCTGCCTCAAAAAAAGAAAAAAAAACTGGCTTATTTTACTTAGCATTATGGTTTCAAAGTTCATCCACATTGTAACTTGTCTCCTTTTCATTGCCAAATAACAGTTCATGGTGTGGATATACCACATTTTGTTTATGGATTTCTCAATTGGTGAACATTTGGGTTGTTTCCACTTTTTGACTGTCATGAATAACACTGTTATGAACATTCCTGTACATTTTTTTGTATGAACACGTGTTTTCTATTCTCTTGGGTATACACCTAGGGGTTGAATTGCTGGGTCATATGGTAACTCTATTTTTTTTTTTCTTTTTTGAGACAGGATCTCACTCTGTTGCTCAGGCTAGAGTGCAGTGGCACAATCATAGTTCACTGCACCCTCAAACTTGGGCTCAAGTGATCCTCCTGCCTCAGCCTCCCAAGAAGCTGGGACTACAGGTACATGCCACTATGACTGGCTAATTTTTTAATTTTTTGTAGAGATGGGGTGTCACTCTTGTTCAGGCTGGTCTTGAACTTCTGGCTTCAAAGAATCCTCCTAGTTTGGCCTCCCAGAGTGCTAGGACTATAAGTGTGAGCCATCGTGCCCATGAGAAACTCTATCTTTAACATTTCAGGGAACTGTCAAACTGGTTTACAAAGTGCCTGCACCATTTTGCATTCACACCAGCGATATATGATGGTTTAAGATGAAGTTTTGGGGGGTTTTTTTGAGGCAGAGACTTACTCTGTTACCCCAGCTAGAGTGCCATGGCATCAGCCTAGCTCACAGCAACCTCAAACTCCTGGGCTCAAGCAATTCTTCTGCCTCAGCCTCCCGAGTAACTGGGACTACAGGCATGTGCCACCATGCCCAGCTAATTTTTTCTATATATTTTTAGTTGGCCAATGAATTTCTTTCTATTTTTAGTAGAGACGGGGTCTCGCTCTTGCTCAGGCTGGTTTAGAACTCCTGACCTTGAGCGATCCACCCAACTCGGCCTCCCAGAGCGGTAGAATTATAGGCATGAGCTACCACACCTGGCCTGAGATGAAGTTTTAATAGCTTCTTCCAGCATTTTTGTATGAATTCAGAAGTTGATAAGCTTATGGTGCTTGGCACAGAGGACGTGCTCAGAGAATGAATGCTGTCATTACTGGTGATGATTTTTTTTAATTAGCTGAATTTAAGATTTATGGTGATGCCTTCCTGATCAACTCTAAGAAGTAGATTTTGAGAGCCTCAATTCAGGAGAATGCTGACTTACATGCAGTTTGTGTGGGAAGCACATCTTTCAAAACAGGCTTTGAGGTTGGCAGCATCTACAAGGACATAGGACAAAGGAGGAACTTGAGTCAGTGAAGAACACAGGTTAAGAGCCTTTGACATCAGATGGACCAAGGCTTGAGTTTGGCCTCCTCTGCTCACCGGCTCTCTGGCCTAGATGCAACCTGTCTCCAGGTGGGCAAATAAGGGAAATGATGATCCCAGGGCGCAGGTTCACTGTGATGGTTACACAGGATAATATTTGTAAAGGCTGGTTAGCACAGAAATTAGTACACAGTGAACATTCAATAAATGAAAGTACTGATTGTAGTTTAAAAGGTTAGAAATAATTTCCCTGTTTCAAGATGGGTAAATTGGATTTCAGAAATGTTACATGACTTATGAAGTCCAGAGAAGAAGATAAAATTACTTATTTGGGGAGGGGGCTAAAAAATAAACGTTATCTTTTTTTTTTTTTTTTTTTTTTTTTTTTTGAGACAGAGTCTCGTTTTGTTGCCCAGGCTAGAGTGAGTGACGTGGTGTCAGCCTAGCTCACAGCAACCTCAAACTCCTGGGCTCAAGCAATCCTGCTGCCTCAGCCTCCCAAGTAGCTGGGACTACAGGCATGTGCCACCATGCCCGGCTAATTTTTTGTATATATATTAGTTGGCCAATTAATTTGTTTCTATTTATAGTAGAGACAGGGTTTTGAACTCAGGCTGGTTTCGAACTCCTGACCACGAACAATCCGCCCGCCTCGGCCTCCCAGAGTGCTAGGATTACAGGCGTGAGCCACCGCGCCCGGCCGATAAACGTTATCTTTTAGAACAGCATTAGATTTACAAAAAAATCACAAAGATAGTATGGAGAGTTCTCACATACCCTGCACCCAGCCTCCTCTATTATTAACACCTCACATCAGTATGGTACATTTGTTATAATTAGCCAGTACAATATTATTGATAACCGGCCAGGCACAGTGGCTCATGCCTTAATTCCAACACTTTGGGAGTCCAAGGCAGGAGTTAGAGATAAGCCTGGGCAATATAGTGAGACCTTGTCTCTACAAAAAATTTAAAAATTAGCGGAACATGGTGGCACTTGTCTAGCTACTCAGGAGGCTGAGGCAGGAGGATCACTTAAGCCCAAGAGTTTGAGGCTTCAGTGAGCTATGATCAGGCCACTAGACTCCAGCTGGGTGACAGAGAGAGACCCTGTCTCTAAGAAAAACAAAAATTATTAGCTGAAATCCATACTTTATTCTAATTTCCTTAGTTTTTACCTAATGTCCTTTGTTTGTTCCAGGATCCTGCAAGGATTCCACATTATATTTAGTCATCATGTCTCCTAGCCTCCCTTTGGCTGTGACTGTTTTCCAGGCTGTCCTTATTTTTGATGATCTTGGCAGTTTTGAGGGGTGCTGATCAGGTATTTTGTAGACTGTGCCTTAACTGGGATTTTTATGTCATTTTTCTCAAGGATTAGATGAAAATTACGGCCTTGAAGAGGAAGCAGAGATGAAGTGCCATTTTCATCACATCACATCACCGGGCTGAGGGAGTGCTTTGTCAGAGTCCACTGCGAAGTGATCCTTCTTTGCGCCTCTTCCCATACTGTATTCTCTGGAAGGATGTCACTATGCAGAGCCCATAAAAAAGAGTGAGAAATTATGTCCCACCTCTTTGAGGGCAGAGTTTCTGCATAGATTATCTCCGCAGAGGAGATCTGTCTCTTCGCCTCCATTTATTTATTTATTCAGTCATGTATTTATGTTACTATAGACTCATGGATATTTATCTTATATAGTAGGCTATTTTTTGTTTTGTTTTGTTTGTATGTTTGTTTAAGGCAGAGTCTCACTCTGTTGCCCAGGCTAGAGTGCCGTGGTGTCAACCTAGCTCACAGCAACCTCAAACTCCTGGGCTCAAGCAATCCTTCTGCGTCAGCCTCCTGAGGAGCTGGGACTACAGGCATGTGCCACCATGCCTGGCTAATTTTTTCTATATGTTTTTAGTTGGCCAATTAATTTCTTTCTATTTTTAGTAGAGACGGGGTCTCACTCTTGCTCAGGCTGGTTTCGAACTCCTGCCCTTGAGTGATCTACTCGCCTCATCCTCCCAGAGTGCTAGGATTACAGGTGTGAGCCACTGTGCCCAGCCTAAGTAGGCTATTTAGTATGCTCAAGTTGTTCCAATTTTCAGTTGGCTCCTGTGTCCTGTGACATACCTGCATCACTGGTGCTTTTTGGGGATTTTTTGTGGGTTTTTTTTTTTTTTTTAGTACTAAGATCTGTTTTTTTTTAGAGACAGGGTCTCGCTCTGTCACCCAGGCTGAAGTGCAGTGAGCTCACTAGTGATCCTTCTGCTTCAGACTTCTGAGTCACTGGGATTACAGGTGTGAGCCACGGTGCCTTGCCCCTTTTCTTCTTTCAAACAAATATTTGCGCATAATACACTTTGTTCTGTATACTGCTTTTTTCAAGAAACTATCTCTTGGGGACTTGCATTTTAGCATATAGAAATCTATTTCCTTTTTAACCTCTACATAGTATTCCTTTGTAAGACTATACCATAATATACTTAACCAACCTCCATCAAAAGACATTTATACTCTCTCCAGTCTTTTACTAGAACAAGGAGTGCTGCAGTGAATACCCACATCTTTGTACATTTGAGCAAATAAATCTACAGGATAAATTTCTAGACATGCCATTGCAAGAGCCAAAGAGCATATGCTTTCAAAATTGAAGCAGATGCTGCCAAATTGTCCTCCACAAACCTTTCACCAATTTTCACTCTCACCAACAGTGTACAAGAGGACCTGTTTCCCACACCCTTGCTAACATTGAGAAGTAACAAGGCTTTTGATCTTTGGCAAGCTGATAGGTGAAAAATGGTGACTCACAGAAATTTTAATTTGCATTTCTTTTATTATGAGTGAAGTTGAACATCTTGACATACATTTAGAAATCATTTGTGTTTTCCTTTACTTAAACTGTCTCTTCAAGTCCTCTGTCCATTCCACCCCACCCCACCCTACCTCACCCGCACCTTTGGATTATTTACAACCTTTGTTTTGTGCTTCAGTAAAAGCTACTCATTTATTTATTCCATCAATAAACAACAAATATTTATTGATCACCTGACTAATTTTTCTACTTTTTTGTAGAGAGAGGTCTCACTCTTGCTCAGGCTGGTTTTGAACTCTTTTTTTTTTTTTTGAGACAGAGTCTCGGTTTGTTGTCCAGGCTAGAGTGAGTGCCGTGGCATCAGCCTAGCTCACAGCAACTCAAACTCCTGGGCTCAAGCAATCCTGCCTCAGCTCCCAAGTAGCTGGGACTACAGGCATGGCGCCACAGCGCTAATTTTTATATATATATATCAGTTGGCTAATTAATTTCTTTCTATTTATAGTAGAGATGGGGTCTCCCTCTTGCTCAGGCTGGTTTTGAACTCCTGAACTTGAGCAATCCGCCCGCCTCGGCCTCCCAAGAGCTAGGATTACAGGCGTGAGCCACCGCGCCCAGCCTGGTTTTGAACTCTTTTTTTTTTTTTTCACACACACACACACACACACACACACACACTCACACACACCAGATGGTTTTGAACTCTTGATCTGAAGTGATCCTCCTGCCTTGGCCTCCCAGAGTACTAGGATTATAGGCTTGAGGCATTGCACCCAGTCCAAAAAGTTTTTTAAAAATTTGGCTGGGCGAGGTGGCTCACGCCTGTAATCCTAGCACTCTGGGAGGCCGAGGCAGGCGGATTGCTCAAGGTCAGGAGTTCAACACAGCCTGAGCAAGAGCAAGACCATCTCTACTATAAAAGAAAGAAAATTAATTGGCCAACTAATATATATAAAAAAATTAGCTGGGCATGGTGGCGCATGCCTGTAGTCCCAGCTACTCGGGAGGCTGAGGCAGGAGGATTGCTTGAGCCCAGGAGTTTGAGGTTGCTGTGAGCTGGGCTGACGACATGGCACTCACTCTAGCCTGGACAAAAAAGCAAGACTCTGTCTCAAAAAAAAAAAAATTAGCTGGGCATGGTGGCACATGCCTGTAGTCCCAGCTACTTGGGAGGCTGAGGCAGGAGGATCGCTTGAGCCCAGGAGTTCAAGGCTGCAGTGAGCTATAATCATGCCACTGCGCTCCAGCCTGGGCAACAGTGAGACCCTGTCTCAAAAACAAAACATAACAAAAAAATAGGGTATGGATAGAAAGTCATGGGGTGCCATTTTATATACAGGTTTAGAGAAGTTTTCTCTGAAGGGACACCAGTTGAGCAGAGATGAGATTGAAGTGAGGACGGAATAGTGCCGTTGTCTAGGAAAGGCAAAGGGACAGCAATATGAAGTTCCAAGGTGAGCAAGGTTGGGTGAGCTGGAGGCCCTGCCAGGAGGTCAGAGTGGCTGGAGCAGAATAATTGAAGGGGAGAGGATGGGAGAAGGGATCCAAAAGGTAAGCAGGGACCAGATCATGTGGGGTTTTGCAGGCCTTTATAAGGACTTTGGCTTGTACTGTGAGCGAGATGCCAGCCATTGCAAAATTTGTTTATTTTGGCTGCACTTTTTTTTTTTTAAGAGTTTTGGAGCAGAGGAATGACATTACCCAATTTAGGTTTTAAAAGAACTACACAACAGCAAGGTCTGTGAGTTGAGACATTACAATAGGGCATTTCCTATCATTATCTGTTTGAAATGGGATATTTAGGGGCCTGGCCTGCTTTAAGCAAATCCAATGTGTGAAAACACAAATGGACCTAATTTTCTCCAAAGGACCAGCAGTCATTGCAAAATGCTCAATGTGGCAGGGGTAATGTGGTGACAGTCCTATGGGCCCAGGATTTTAGCTTTTGGGTGATGAACACACCCCAGATTGTTCCCATCATAAGGAATCATCTCCCCAAAGCCCACCAACTGCACCTCCTGAAGTGCCTTCAGCAGACACATTCACACAAGGCCATAAAAATGTACGTTCAAGAATGTTCCCAGAGGCCTGGCACAGTCAGTGGCTCACACTTCTAATCCCAGCAACTCTAATCCCAGCAATTTGGGAGGTTGAGGCAGGAGAATCTCTTGTCTCAAACTCCTGACCTCAACCAATCCTCCCACCTTGGCCTTCCAGAGTGCTAGGATTACCGGAGTGAGCCACTGTGCCCGGCCAAGGAGAATCTCTTGAACCCAGGAGTTTAAGGCTTCAGTGAGCTATGATCATGTCACTGCACTGTAGCCCAGGGACAACTAGACCCCATCTCTCTTAAAAAAAAAAAAAAAAGAAGAAGAAGAAGAAGACAGGAGAAGCAGATGTAGAAGAGGAAGAGGAGGAAGAAGAAGGAGAAGGAGAAGAAGAATGTTCCCAGAAGTGGCCAGGTGCGGTGGCTCACGTCTGTAATCATAGCACTCTGGGAGGCCGAGGTGGGCGGATCGTCTGAGCTCAGGAGTTTGAGACCAGCCTGAGCAAGAGTGAGACCCCCTCTCTATTAAAAAATAGAAAGAAATTCGCTGGACAACTAAAAGCATATAGAAAAAATTAGCCGGGCATGGTGGTGCTAGTAGTCCCAGCTACTCGGGAGGCTGAGGCAGGAGGATCGCTTGAGCCCAGGAGTTTGAGGTTGCGGTGAGCTAAGCTGATGCCACGGCACTCATTCTAGCCTGGGCAACAAAGCGAGACTCTGTCTCAAAAAAAAAAAAAGAATGTTCCCAGAGGTCAGTCACAGTGACAACGCACCTGTAATACCAGATACTTGGGAGGATCTCTTGAGTCCAAGAGTTCAAAACCAGCCTCAGCAACATAGAACATTTTTTTAAATGTTCCTAGCAGTATGACTTTGTGACTATACTAAAACCACTGAATTGTACACTTTAAAAGGTACATCTTATAGTATGTGAATTTATGTCAATAATAATTATAAAGGAATAGTCCCAGAAATCCTGTTTGTCATAGCACAAAGACCAGAAACAACCTAAATATCTACCTATAGGGATCTGTTAAATAAACTGGTACAACCACCAATGGATAAACACAGGAGCTGTTAAAAAGAACGAGATGTGTCTGTATTTGTAGATGCAGAAGATATGGAAAGCTGTCTGTGAGGTAGTAAGTTAAAAAAAATAATAAACTAGACTGGGTGCAGTGGCTTAACCCTGTAATCCTAGCACTTTGGGAAGCAGAGGCAGAAGAATCGCTTGAGACCAGGAGTTTGAGAACAGTCTGGGCAACATAGCAAGACCCTGTCTGTATTGTCTGTACCAAGAGAAAGAAAGAAAAGAAAGAGAAAGAAAGAAAGAAAGAAAGACAAAAGAAAGAAAGAAGAAGAAGGAAGGAAGGAAGGAAGGAAGAAGGAAGGAAGGAGGAAGGAAGGAAGAAACGGAGGAGAAGAAGAAAAAGAAAGAAAGAAAGAAAAAGAAAGAAAGAAGAAGAAAGAAAGAAGAAGAAGAAAGAAAGAAAAAGAAAGAAAGAAAGAGAGAAATGAAGGGAGAGATTGTGGGGCAACAGTGGCGCACCACTTGGTAGTTCCAGCTACCAGGAGTGCTAAGCAGGAGGATTGCTTTAACCAGGCGAGTACAGGGTTAAGTGAGCCTGTGATTGGTGTTCACTGTCTTCAGCCTGGGCCGACCACAAGAGTTTACTGAGAC